CCTCACCACCCCTGGAGCCCGGCGCCCTCACTCCCCGACGCCCTCGAATCCCTGTATAGATGGGAAATGGAGGCTCATAGCTGTGACTCTAACCGGAAAGGGGAGGCCGGACAGGAGGAGGCGGGCCCAGAACTTGACAGAGGGAAGCACTCCCACCATCCCCTTCACCAGCCAACTGCCCGGACCGCCCACGGGCTTGCGAGCAAACCAGAGGCCCTCGACCCCATTGGTTACGCCTCGAGGGGGCGGGCGAACAAGGCGCCCGCTGGTTGGCGGGGTCGGACCAATGAGGAGGCCGCGGCACGGGCGTGGGAGGCGCGCTGAAAGTGGCGCGTCCTTTCTTTTGAGGCGAGCTCGTGTGGCGCGTGAGGTGGATGACGCTGCCCTCTAAGCGCCGCCTGCCTAGCCTGCCGAGACCGTGACCGCGACTCGGGCCATCGACCGTCGCCCCGGTTCCGGGGCCGCCCGGGTCGCGACATGAGCTCCCCGGATGAGGTGTCTGTGTGGGGAATGTGTTTCGGCCCAAAGGGCAGGGAGCGGGCCGGCGTCCGCCCAGCCGGCCCTGCAGTCCCACGGGGACCCGACCCAGGCCCCGAGCCTGGGGAACCGCGGAGCGGCGAGGGCGCAGGCGGCTTCCCGGACCCCGAGGGCTTCCAGTCGGAGCGGGAGATGCTGGAAGCGCGAGGGCCGGTGCTGTGGGGCCGCAAAGGCCGACCTGGCTCCCCAGGTGACCACAAGAGGGACCTCCTGGACCTGATCGAGGAGTCTGAGGAGGCCAACCTGCAGCAGCTGACCGACCAGGACACGCTGGGCGTCCGCAGATACCCGTCCCCGGAGAGCTCCACCGCCTTCGAAGTGTCCACCGTGTGGACACTGCACCTTGAGGCGGGTCCCGGCGGTCGAGGAGCGCGCGGCCAGAGCTGTGGGGAGGGGCCGACGGCTCCAGCCGGCCCTCTCCACCTCGGGAGGCCTGAAGCGGGCCGGGCCTTGGGGAACCCTAAGAGAGGCACTAACCGTAAGTTGAACGTGGCTGCGGATCGCCAGCAGCGCTCCGCGGAAGGCCTGGCCTGGCTGCTGTCCGACTCCGAGTCCTCAGATGAATTCAGTGAGAC